TATTGAATCTCAAACTAATACCTTATTCAATTAGTGAGGGATCGATTGAATTTAAAAACCTTGAAATTAATAATGACTAATGAGGGCGGAAAAAGTCACAAGCCAATTTCTTCCATTCGCCCTGTTTTTTCGACCAAGACCTTCATCATTGTCAATCGAATGGAACCATCCTTCGTTCTCCTAGCAACGCATTTAAAAATTGATTATGACCCATAATAAACAATATAAGTACATGCATACGACTAAGAGTTTAGACTTTAGAGTTCATTCACTCAAAAAAAAAAAAAAAGAGTTTAGAGTTCAGACATCAACCAGAAATGCGGGGACGAGGAAATCATAAATAAATATTCATAATTATATTAATGATAACTACGGACCGTAAATTTATTTTCCAATTTATCATAAAGTTATGCTTATATTCTGTATAATTAAAACACTTCAATAATAACTTATTTCTATAATAATTGAAAATAACATTAATCACTTTCTCAAGAGAAGCCAAAAAAAAAAAAAGAGGCAATGGTCCTCAAATGCGAAGTTACAATGCGCTGTCATGTTGTGCTAAACACCCACATAAGACGACTAAGGGGGTCGTCGCAGGCAGAACCTTCCTGCGTAAACTTTAAAGCTGGTCAAAAAACAATCTGAAAACGAGTGAGCTTGAAAAAAGATACAGTTCAAGTAGCGCTAGAAAACAACAACAGGTTTAACCAAAAATGAATTCAGCCAGGGTTGGTCAAAGAAACACTTTGTTTAATCTCACTGCATACCTCATAATGCGGAACATCGTTGTATCTTTCTACGTCTTCCATTTATGATAGAATCTGGCGTTTGACTACAATCCCAAAGAAAAGTGAACAAAATTTCTTTAAGGCGGCTGAGTAGGAGTGCAAAGGCAGAGCATGTACTCATTCTCATAGAAACCATTCATTAGGGCGAAGCATGACAACCTTCACAAGGCTTCTGCTCTCATCTTTCACATACTCTTGCTATGTTTTCTTCCATCGAAGATAGCTGCATCACTGCAAACAGAAGCAGAAGCTCTAGTGAAATGGAAAAACAGTCTGTCTCCTTCTCTTCCTTCTACCCTCGACTCATGGTCCCTCAACAATATGGTCGACCTTTGCAATTGGGGTGCCATAGTCTGTGACAGCAAAAATACCACAGTCTCAGAGATAAACCTCTCTGGAGCAAATCTTACTGGTACACTTGCGGGTTTGGATTTTACTTCTGTCCCCAATCTCACCCGCCTGGACCTCAGTTACAATAAGTTCAATGGGACAATTCCATCTGATATTGTTAACCTCTCCAAGCTCATTTTCCTGGACTTGGATACAACTCCTTCAATGGAACTCTGCCTGCTGAGCTAGACCAGCTGAAAGAGCTTCAATATATGAGTTTATACAACAACAACCTTAATGGGACCATTCCCTATCAGGTCACGAACCTCCGAAAGGTATGGCACCTAGACTTTGGATCAAACTACTTTGTTAATCCTCCTGACTGGTCAAAATATTCAGGCATGTCTTCCTTAACCCACCTCAGTTTGGCTCTCAATATATTCACTTCTGAATTTCCAAGCTTCATTCTGGAATGTCGAAATTTGACATTTCTTGACCTGTCTTACAATCCGATTAGTTTAATACCAGAATCGTTGTACACCGGTCTGCAAAAGCTTGAATACCTCAACATGAGCAATTGCGAGCTAGAAGGACACTTGTCACCAAACTTGTCTAAGCTTTCCGGTCTCAAAGAAATTCATCTGGGTGTTAACAAGTTGACAGGTTCCATTTTCCCAGATATAGGATTAATATCTGGACTAGAAGTTCTTGAATTGAATGAGAATTCACTCCAAGGTGAAATTCCTTCCTCTCTAGGCCAACTTAGTGAGTTATTGCGTCTTGATCTCAGGCACAACTCCTTAAATTCTACCATTCCTCCTGAGCTTGGCCTTTGTACCAATCTAACCTACCTGGCTCTGGCAGTGAATTCTCTGGTTGGTTCCTTGCCTGTGTCGTTATCCAATCTGACAAAAATTACAGAATTGGGTTTATCAGATAATTTCTTCACAGGTCAAATCTCTGCTTCGTTGATCTCTAAATGGACTGAGTTGTTTTCTTTGCAACTTCAAAACAACACATTCATGGGAGAAATTCCTGCAGCGATTGGCCTATTGACAAAAATTGATATTCTTTTTCTATACCAAAATCAATTTTCTGGCCCTATTCCTCCCGAGATTGGAAACTTGCAAGCAATGACACAGTTAGACCTTTCTTCAAACAAATTTTCTGGTCCAATTCCTTCAGCCATATGGACACTTAAAAACCTTACAAACATAACTCTTGCCTCAAATAACCTCTCAGGAACCATTCCCATGGAAATTGGAAACCTCACTTCATTGACAACTTTTGATGTCAACAATAATTTTCTCGATGGGGTGTTGCCCGACACTATTTCCCAGTTAACCAAGTTACAGTTGCTATCTTTGTTCACCAACAACTTTTCAGGCGGCATTCCCAGAGATTTTGGGAAGTATAGCCCTGATTTGAGATATGTCTTTCTTTCAAATAATAGCTTCTCCGGAGAACTGCCGCCTGATTTGTGCAGTGGTTTGGCACTCGTGGACTTAATGGTCAATAACAACAGTTTTTCAGGACCATTGCCTAAGTGCTTGAGAAATAGTCTGCATTAACAAGGGTGAAGCTTGAAAGAAATCAATTTAGAGAAAACATCACAGAAGCATTTGGGATATACCCAAGTCTTGCATCCATCACACTTAGTGGCAATCAATTTTTTGGTGAACTCTCCCCAGATTGGAGTGAATGTAAGAATTTAACCAAGATAGAAATGGATGACAATAAACTTTCTGGGAAAATTCCATCTGATTTGGGTTTGTTAAGCCAATTACAATATCTAAGCATGCACTCCAATCAATTTACTGGCAGCATTCCAACGGAAATGGGAAATCTAAGACAACTTTTCTTGTTCAACTTGAGCGGAAATCATTTGACAGGAGAAATTCCCCGGAGTCTTGGCAGATTGGACCGTCTTAATTATCTTGATTTATCAAACAACAACTTCATTGGAAGCATACCAAAAGAGCTCGGTAACTGTGACCGTTTAACTAGCTTGAATTTGAGCCACAACAGTTTAACTAGGGAGATACCATCTGAGCTTGGAAATCTGTTCTCACTCCGCTACTTTCTGGACCTCAGCAGCAACTTTCTCTCTGGCCCAATTCCTCAGAACCTTGAAAAGCTCATTTATTTGGAGATCCTCAATGTCTCACGCAACCATCTTTCGGGGACAATCCCGCAATCATTTTCAAGTATGATTAGTCTTCAATCCATCGATTTTTCTTACAACAACTTGACAGGTCCTATCCCTACGCGGGGTATTTTCCAAAGAGCATCCAGTGAAGCTTATGATGGAAATTCTGGTTTGTGTGGCAAGGCAAAAGGATTAATTGCTTGTTCCAAAGAATCTTCCCCAGATAAATCTGGAGGAGTAAACAAAAAGGTGCTTCTTGGTGTTATTATACCAGTTTGTGCGCTACTAATTTTTGGGGGGATTGTTGTAAGAATCCGAGCGTTTCACCAGGCCAAACTTCCTCACGAAGAGTCCAGTGACGCTCAAAAGAATGAAAAAACTGTAAGCACGATTTGGGGAAGAAAGGGAAAATTCACATTTGCTGAAATTGTCAAAGCCACAGATGACTTCGATGACAAATACTGCGTTGGGAAAGGAGGTTTTGGAAGCGTCTACAGAGCAGAATTGCCTACAGGTATAGTCGTCGCCGTCAAAAGACTCAACATCGCAAACTCCAGTGACATTCCAGCTGAGAATCTTCGGAGTGTTGAGAATGAGATAAAAACTCTTACCGAAGCAAAACACCGCAATATCATAAAGCTTTATGGGTTTTGCAGCACCGAGGAACACGCGTACTTGGTTTACGAATATGCCGAAAGAGGCAGCCTGGGAAAAGTATTGTACGGAGAAGAAATGGAGACGGTATTAAACTGGCCTCGAAGGGTGAAAATTGTGCAAGGGATAACACAAGCAATAGCGTACCTACACAGCGATTGTATCCCACCAGTTGTGCATCGAGATGTGACGTTGAATAACATATTGTTGGACTCAGAATATGAACCTCGCCTTGCAGATTTTGGCATAGCAAGGCTTCTTAGGCCCAATTCAGCAAGCTGGACCTCAATTGCTGGCTCCTATGGCTACATGGCTCCAGGTACGGACTCTAATCAATTTCTTTTCTTTCGATCTTTTTTTTTTTTTGGATTAAGGAATTCATCAATCATCCTAATAAAATTGATTTTGCAGAGCTCGCACAAACAATTCGGGTCACAGAGAAGTGTGACGTTTATAGTTTTGGAGTGGTGACATTAGAAATAATACTGGGAAAGCACCCCGGCGACTTCTTGGCCACATTGCCATCACTGGATAATCCACAAGTGTTGTTGAAGCATGTAATCGACCAGAGACTCCCACCTCCATCAGCTCGATTTGGTGAGGCGATAGCCTTTATAATGACCATAGCCTTGGCATGCACGCGAGCCCATCCAGAGTCTAGACCCACCATGCATTTTGTGGCCCAGCAACTATCGGCGATTGAGCAGACTTCTCTAGTTGAACCCTTTGGCACAATTACCCTAAATAAGCTAACAAGGTTTCATGAGTAGCAATGTAGAATGACGATGTCTTTGAAACTCACTGGCCAATGGTTGTGTGGGTATGCCTTGGATTGGCACAGTAGGCACTTAAGTATCATGTTTACATAATTTGAAATGAGAAGGTATCTTGCATTCCTAGAATTCGAGAATTAAGGTTGAAATTATAACCATCTCTTGAATAGCTCAATTATAACCATTTTTTTCCTTCAAGCTTACATACTTCATAAATGATTTTCCTAAAACATGTAAACTTCCAAAACAAACCAAACGAAATGGAACAAAACTACATCCACTAGTCTTTGCAACTTTAACATTCTACCCCACATTGTTCGAGTACTGGACCCGTTTTCTTGGGCAAAAATGGATCAATCCGAACCCAAAGCATTGACAAAACTAATGCTACAAGTAGTGACCAGAGGACAACGATGGTAGGAGTCCTATTCTTGCCCATGAGACCTTTGAGGAAAGGATGTAGGTGCGCAATAACCCAGAAGGCTAAAAATAGTTTACCAAATAAGGGTCCCCATGAGCCATAGCCATTGTTGACGGCATCTGAGATTCCGGCCACAATTCCCACAACGTTCAAGATTATAAGAGTGGTTGGTGGGATGAGAAGATTAGTCCATTTGAAGAGGTAGAAGCGAGTATCACCTTTTGCTTTTGCCCGTGCAAAACAATCAGCATCTACTCCAGTAACAACTTTAAGCAGACCTAGAAATACAGCAAACAAATGTGAAGAAACACCTCCAATGATCCAGAGTTGCTCATTGTGCCACCAATCCTGAATGCTAACTCCACTCCATCGAAGCTCTAGCACACAAGTTAAGATGATGGAGATAAAAAGCGCCATCAAACAAATGCTATCAAGATTTGTCAGCTGCACATAATAAAGTTCTGGTCAGTTATTCTAGTAACTGGTTATCCTCAAGCAGATTAGTTATCCTAGTAACCAGTTGATGAGATTCTTTAATTGTTATGTGGTCGAATATCTCATCAAATATAGCCAAATATAATTCATTAATCGCTCTTGCTGACCAAAGCATGATTTACTTACGGCTGGGATGAAGAACTTCCCTGTCAGAAGACAGACAGCTGGAATTGTACAGTATATTAGCAAAGGAATGGAGGTGATTGGGTGAACAATAGTATTAGTATAAGCTAGCCTCTGAAGCCACCTCAACTTTCCTTTGTAGCCATACCACATAGGGCAATGGTAACTAAAGAATATCTCAACAGAACCAAAAGCCCATCTCAAAACTTGGCATAACTGATCTGATAGATTTACTGGAGCAAATCCCTTGAAAGCTGCTCTTTTTGGTATGCAGTACGCTGATTTCCATCCTCTACAATGCATCTTAAAACCAGTCAAGATACCTTCTGTGACTGAGCCATAAATCCAACCAATCTACAAAGGAAACAAATTTGCCAAGTAATTGGTTCCTAATCATGGATTATAACATCAACTAGCAAATAAAAGAAAAAATTCATTGCAACAAATGCCATTACCTCTTTGCCCCATTCTGTTTTCTCTTCATAATCACAACATATAACATGAATGGCCTCTTTCATAGCATTAACACTTTTTAGAACTCCACCAGCCCTACCCAAAGTGGAAGCAATAAAAATTGGTGACTGCCCAAATCGCTTCATAAAATTTTCTGGTGATATGAGGGATAGTTCCCCTGCCTCATCATAACCTTCAAGCTCTTCTTCACTCTCGTCAAGATCAAGTATTTCCATTATTTCTTCCAAGTCAGAACTTTCAAGCGATTCTTCCATAACCTCAAGATCAAATATTTCTAGTTCATCACAGCCTTCAAGATTTTCATCAATCTCTTCAAGATCAAACACTGAATCAGGCCCACCACCACAACAACGACACCACAAAGGCCACCAGTCGCAATTCATCTTTGAGCTTCTCTTAGATATTTGTGGATCATAGCCATATAAAGCCCACCTATTAAATACACATCCAGCACCAACATATTCCGGACCTTGAATGCCATCAAGGCTTTTCATGTTGATCTATAACCAAATTAACATAAAAGGCATAAGTTGAAGGCTGGTTAGCAAAATTACAATTTCCATTTTATAATTATATTTGATAAGTTGGAATTAAGAAGAGTCTCTCTTACATTAAAGAAAACAGTGTTGTGATTAGCATATCTATCACGGTCATCCAAGCCATCGAAACGTAACGGAAATTGGACAAAACATAGGTCCCTTCCTTGGGGCTCCATTAGAAAGCACATAGCCTCCCTTATAACCTTGCTATTGTTGATGTATTGGTCACAATCCAGATTCAATAAGAAAGGCGCATTTGTAAGCACAGCAGAAGCTCGAACCTTTTTATAGGACAGGTGACATTGCACGTATCATTAAAAAATTTTCTAATACCTTCGTCTTAATGGAGGTAACAAATATAATTTGAAGTTGAAGTGTGAGCTGCGTACCAAAGCATTCAAGGCACCAGCTTTTTTGTGATGTTGATAGCCAGGACGATTTTCACGTGAAACATACACTAGCCGTGGCAATTCCTTACCTTCAACATCCAGTGTACTAGCACCTCCCAGAGAGACCTACAATGGCAAGTTTATGAGCCATAGCGGCAGAGGCCTAACTATTTCAAAAATTACAATTCAAATCCATCAAATCGTGTATCTTCAAAACAAAACGTCAAATACAAATCAAGCAGGAAGAAATTGGGGATAGAATGCCAAACCTGACAAATTCCCGGATGATCGTGAGTATTGTTCCCCGGCCATGGCACACCATTCTGCATCACCCACCCCTCCTCTGGTTTTTTCTGAGCTTTTGCCACCAATGCATTAATTTTCACTTTGAATTCTTCATACTCCCTCTGCAAGAGAGAACAAGTTTACAAAAGTAGCCTTACATTACACCTTAAATTCTACAATCATGAAATAAATAAATGAAAGCAGATTCTATATCCCATCTACGTGTCTACCTTAATGGCCCTGCGTTCCTTCACAAATGCGGGGTGCACCTTATCTTTAAAGTAATCAACTTTCTGAGAGAAATAGAACTCAGGTGCCCGTGGCTCAATGCCATACTTCTTGCAGAAGGGAACCCATGTTCTTGCGAATTCAACTGTTTCAGATAGGGTATTAAAAGCAAAAGAGACGCAGCGTCATCGGAGACATAGCAGGTGACCTTCTCAACAGGGTAATCAACAGACAAGATTGAGAGAACGGTGTTTGCAGTTACAATGGGTGCTTCCTTTGAAGGGTCTACAGTAGTTACAAACACATCAATTGGGGCTAGACGGTTTGGCTCTTTACGCTCAAACTTGATGCATAAGCGGTCTAGGTATGTTTCGCGCGTGATGGGAAACCATTTGGGAAATTGGTCAAGAATCCAAGACAGAGCAAACCAGACCTCGCAGATTACAGAAATTAGCCATAAGGGGTATGCATCGTGCACTGGATTCAAAAACCGGAAGCGGAAGAAGAAAACTAGGATAATGAGACGCAGCACAATGACTATTCGGTATGGGTTGATTAGGTTTGAAGGGATGGGAACTACGCGCCATAACGGCCGCCTCGAACTGCCACAGTAAATTTCAAAATCATCATGTACTTTTTTACAGAAAAAAGGTTCAGTTACTATTGCCAGATTTCTTCGGCTCTATATTTAATACTCCCTCCTTTTAAGATTATAAATTATTTTAAATGTTAATTAACTTACACCCCCTAATACATTAGTTGGTGATCGTTAAAATTATATATTTTTATGTTTATTTATATTTAATAAGGTGTTTTAATTTAAAATTTTTATAAATTATACTTCTACATTTTTTTACTCATAAATATTATCTTATTAGAGGCAATTTTATTTGAAACAGTATTGGACACTAAATATGAACATCTCTCTAAGGTAGGATTCTAACTTTGGTTTATTATATTGTGAGAGAATAGCTCTAATTTTCATTAGGTCTTGAGAAACCAAAAAAAAAACCCTTTTAACAAAAAAAGAAGGGAAAATAGGAAATATGCCATGCAACTTTAATTTAGTTTGTTTCTTTTAGAGTAAAAAAATAATAAAAAAATATTTTTAAATTATTTTGTAATTCATTGTTAAAGGTGTTCACAAGTTTAGTTTGATTTGATTTTAAGAAAGAACCAAATCAAACCAATCAATTCATTATAGTTTAGGACCTATTTGATTTTTTTTCTAGTCAATTTAGTTCGATTTTCGTAAGTTTGATTTAGATTTGAATCAAATTTAAACTTTTTTAATGAGATATTCTTTATAATCATCAATACATATTCATGTTCACCGATAATTTTTTACTATTAACTATTATTTGCAATGAAAAAATATCTTGAGCACAAAAGAATATTTTTTAACAATTAATTAGCATATTTAACTATTAAAAATCAATGTATTATCTTTTAAAACATTTGATTATAAAAATAAAAAATTATCCTCAACAATTATAAATAATATTTAGCTAATTGTAACTTTGATTTACAAATCACTAAATGTGGAAAAAGGAAAAAAACTTTGACAAATTTATAAAAATAGATATAATAAATATAATAAAACTTGGTTTATTTTGTTTAAATTTTTAAAAGAAAAAACCTAAATCAAACTGAACTAATTAATTTTGTCAAAATAAAAAATAAAAAATTCAAATCTTATTTATAATTTGTTTTAATTAATTTATGTCATTTTGAATTTAGTTTGGTTTGACATGATCGGTTTAAATTAGTTTTGAACTCCTTATTTCATGCCATCTAAGAAGGGAGAGAGAGAAGAAAATCTCTTACAGGGAATCGTCGTCCTCTTGGTAGTCTTTTTGCCTGTCTTTGCATTCTACAATATGGGAATCCGTGCCGACAACTAGGAGCCGTGGTTGAAAATAAACACAATCGGAAAATCAGTAATTAATTCTCAGAAAGGAAAACCATACAATACATATAATTCTTCAGTTTTCTTCATCAATTGCACTTTCAACTTTTAATCCTTCTCAGTCCGATCGAGAAGAAATAAATAAACTATATTGTATCAGTCCCGTTTTTATTTTGTTTGATTTCTGTCAGAATTGCAACATGGCGATGTCATATCAAAGCTATAAAAATACGATATAAATTTTATGTGTATGGTTATAAGTATAATTTTGATAACATCTATCTGTGTTATTTAAAATTTTGAATCCATCTGTTTGTAATTTTGATAATGTAATGATAGTTTATACCCCACACGCATATATATATATATATATAGCTACATATAGTAGCAATAATTTAACAAATGGAAGCTTAATTTTCGTTTCCAAAAATAATTCGTTAGCCAAAGAAAGAAACACTTACCAGTTGGAGAAGAGGATGAAGCTTGAGAATGGGCAAGCAATAACTCGCGTGGATTACTGTCCGTATTTCCCTGTCAAAAATAATCACAACGCAGCCTTTATCGATCGTGGCATTGCTTTCTTAATATAACTAATAATAAAAAAATTGATAAAATCACAATATATATAGTTTAATGAAAAAAAAATATGAGTAGCAGCCGGAGACAATGAATAATTGTTTCGTTATGCATATACATAGCGAAGCCAGCATAACAAATTATATGGAACAAATGATTTAAAGTATTAATGCATGAAACTACTCATACTCAGTATAACGAAAATATTTGGCAAAACCTGTGGGTGTGAATATATATATATATATATATATATATAGGAGAAGAAGCTCACCTGATGAAGAGAGGAATGGAGAAGCTGAGAAGCTGCAGGAGGAGACATGGTATACATGCAGACAAGAGTGGGAAGTAAGAGGAGGAGGAAGAATTTATAAGAAAACAAAGTGCATGAACGCATTACATTTTCCATCAAACCTGTGGGTTGGCATGTCTTTAAGCCATTGCTTTTGATTTGCTCCATCACCACCTTCCTTCCCTCTTCTTTGTACTCTCTCAATACACACACACACACACACAATATAATATATACTTATCTAATCCTATTTATAGAATAAAGAGATTGTTTACTTTAGTTCTACTTAGAAGACACCCGTTTATCATTTTATCCCTATTAAAATTAATACTAGAAATTAAAATTTATTAAATATTATAATATTGTATTTTTAAAGTAGATATATTAAATGGAGGTAAAGTTAAAAACTTTTTAAATTTTAAGATAGAGCTATAAACTTTTATTGTTTCGATGAAAATACTAAAAATGATGCTTAAATAGGATCAGAGGAGGAGTAGCTTCCTAGCCAGTTGGTAAATATATATATAGCACCCACGTAACTCATCACTCTGCAGTTATTTTAGTTGGCATTTTGCTGTTGTTACAAAACATCGTTTTCTCCTTCTATAAGAGATAAATTTCTGTCATCATTTGATTACATTAATTAATTCTTCTTGTGTAACTCCCAGAAGTGTGTGTTATGTGCCTGTTTTGGGCACCCTCTTGTCTTTTGTATGTCTATTTTGCGGCACTGATATGTCCTATGTATGTGCATGCACCTTACGTGAATATGTCATGCGATATATAATCAAGAGTCGATTTTTAAATTGTCGGCACCCTACTTAATTAAAGATTTATGATGTCTTCTTTTGTACTTAACTGTTTTAGTTTCCTCCAAATTGAACCAATTATAATTATTATTTCATCCCTTCTTTAATTTGTAATAATCTTCCTCTCTGATGTAGTTGTGGGATACTCAGACACGTTAATTAGTTGAGTTGATGGTTTTAAAGAATATATATTGAAATATACTTCTCGAGATTTTAATATGGTTTACCGGGTATTTTGATATCTCAACTTATCGCATAAAAAATTGTCAACTTATTCATATTTGAAAGTTAACGTGTCTGTCTATTAAGAAAGAAAAAACGCAACCAGGCTGCAAGAGCCAAGTCTCAAATCATTTTAGGGTCGAAAACACCGATCTCTGCTCTGTCTGTCTGTCTTTCTTTCTTTGTCTAACTCATTGCATAATCTGTTCGAAAACGAAAAGCAACCCGTGAAGATCCGACTTGAAGGTGAAATTTGAGGGTACGGCAAACTTGTCTTTTTACGAAGGCCACAATTTTAGTTGATCAACGGATCTTATCCTCTCCGACGTAGAAATTAAGTTGGTGTTAACAATAAATAATCTCTTGCTTTGCTCTTAATGGTCATCGCTCTCTTTTCCCATTTGTTACTGTCAAACTCAGAGATAGTTGTCACAGATCAATTTTTAGTTGTCACAGTAAACATTAGGCGTTTAATATTACTAATCTCAACGATTTTCTCCTGTTTATGTATAACACCACAAAGTGTTCATCTTTCTTCCTTTGATTATTTCTTTCTCTTGAAGGACAACTTACTCTTTAGGGACCATAAATATTCTTTTTGAATATTCGGAATTCACCAGTGAAGTTCATATGCTTAATTCCTTAGCTGTCAAAGTCAAAAGTAAATTATATTCTCCCTTTCCTTTGTTTTTGGCGAATTTTTCTCAATTTTCTATTTTATGTTTAAAATGTATTTAAATTAGGTCATAACTTCTTATTGAAATATAATTATATCCATGTATTCTTAAATTAAAGGGTAAAAATATTCTAAAACTTTTTTATGAGAGACATCTAATGTCTTAACTTTTTTATTTTTGAAACAATGCCATACTAAAACTTGTAGAAAAAGTGCAATTTTATCTTACTATTAACATAAACTGATGTTTTACTGTTAAATTTTTTGCTTTTGATGACCCAACTTTATACAAGACATTCTTCAAATCCATTCTTCTTGATTCTTTTCCACCATCAGCTCTTGAAAACTCAAATTTTGAGTAATTTTCTTCAAGAACGTCAATGCATTCATCTTCATCTACAAGATCAACGAAGCAAAAAATATCACCAAGCATAACTATCATGCTCTAAAAATATAACGTGATTGGCACAAGATGTAAATCATGTCATACATCCTTTAGCTCCAAATTGAGAAATCTTTTCATTTTAAAACATAATTGAATTTGCACTGAAAATCATGACATACTTAATAACAACAACAACAACAACAACAACAATAATAATAAAATTAATATTTTTATAAAAATTTTGACAAAACTTCTACAAATTGAAGCTTCTGAAAAGTCTACAATACACTATTTCAATCAAAATATCAAGTCAGTCAAGAGCTCAACTCCTTCTAGTTAGCAAATAGTATATATGACAAAATATAAATCTTAACTGTAGACTATATTGAGCACCTAATCTTACTTTCACTACTGTAGGAAGGACTTTTAATAATAGCTATTTTAAAATTTTTACGTTAGTTATTAAGAGGAAGTAAAAAAAAAAAAGTGAAAAGTTACCTTTCTATGTTAGTTATTTAACTAGCATGAAAAAGATTTTTCACATCAGTCATTTATCTTTAAATACAAACAAGTTTAAAAAATATACTTTTAACAACAATTATTTAAAAACTATTGTGAAAAACTTTTTACAACAGGTATATACAAATAATCATTGTTAAAAATAACTTTCCACGACAGCTATTTGCAAATAATCGTTGTAAAAAGTAACTTTCTACAATAGTTATTTGCATATAATTATTGTAAAAAGTTTTTTTACAATAGTTTTTTAAATAATCATTATTAAAAATTTATTTTTAAAAAAATTATTTATTTTTTTATACATTTAGAACTTAAAATCTATAAATTGTATAGATTGTACAGCAGATATAAATAATTAGCCAACAGAATCACAATAACTAATCTAATAGCATTGACTAATTTAATATAAGTTTCACTTAACTTTTTAAAAAATTTAACAAAATTTTTCCTTATTTTTCAGACTTCGAAAAATACATAATTAATCCAACATCAATAGCAATGTTAACTAAACCAACCAAACAATCTTAATACCTAAATTCATCTATACAAATACCCTTCTATCATTAAATATAAATTTGAGACTTAAAATAAAGATTTGAAAGCACTAATTCATTTATTAAAATACCTAACTATAAAAATATTTAATTGAATAAACCTAATAACAATATGCGGTAAAAATTGACAAAAATAAATAAAAATAAAGACTTATAGTAGAGTTTGCAAAAACTCTCAAATGAAAGAGGAAGATAGAAGAAGATGAGCAACACCCACACCTATGAGTTGAAATGGTAAGGAGGAGAAAGGTGAAAGTTTTAAGTGATAAAGGAAGAAGAAAGAAGAGAAGAGTTGAATTACAAATTAAAAAAGTTAAGGAGAAAGGTGCTTGAAGAATTGCCCAATCAAACAATGGAGGAGGAAGCAAATGGAAGAATTTAAAGAAAAAATATATTTGAAGAAGATCATCAACAATAGAAGAAGAAAGTAAAGCAAATGGAGAAAAGAACTTCAAAAATGAAACCCGCTAATCTTTAAAATCTCAAAATGACAAAAAACAATGAACAGAGAATGGCAACGACGGACGGCAGTGGATGGAGGGAGAATGGAATGAGTCGGTGGCAACTATGGTGAAAGGTCGAACCTTTTCGATAGTTTTTGAGTATGAGAGAGCTATTTTTTGAAAAAATTAAAGATTTAAAGATGCTGAAATATAAAATGAGTTTTTGAAAAATCGATGTAAAAAGTTTATGTTTTTTATTCTTTTTTATTTTTAAATTTTTTTCACGTCGATTTTTAAAAAACTGATGTGGAATAGCTTTTTTATATCAGTTTTTTTTTTCTAATCAATGTTAAAAATTTTATAAATAATTACATTTATGCTGTCGCTTTTTTTACTATGGTTTTTTATAAAATTGATGTTAATTAGCAACATAAAAATCTTATTTTCTAGTTGTGTGTCAAAATAAAATATATGAGTTCAAATATTTACATCAAAAGGGAATATTGTCAAGCAAAATTTCACTCAAAATGGTCATATGTCCTTTAGAGGTCAGCAGTATGATCAACATCAATTAATGAATTTGAGATCAAAATAAATTTTTAATGAATAGCATCTAAAAAATAATTTAAAAGAGTAAGAGTAATAAACTAACAATTACATAAAATAATTGAAAGAAGAATAATTCAATATAATAAAATTACTAAATCTAAAAAATCTCAATCATAACCAAAAATGCGAGTGAACCAAAATTTACTTGATTCTAATTATGTTTGAGGAGAATAAATTGTTCATATGTGAATACAAGTAGTACACTTATACTAACTGTAACAATTAAAATTTTAATTACACATGTTGATTAAAAATCTAAATTTTGAGGACTTAACATAACAAATGATAAATGTAGACACACAATTCATGAAGATAAAATAATTAAACGCAACTTATGCCATAAAGACAAACGTAGACATATAATCTACTAGGGTAAGTAACTAAATGTAGCCTGAGCTACAAAATAAACGTGGACACACAATCCACAAGGATAATACTAACCAAATGCAGCTTGCAGCCATGAAATCAATCACAGATATTAAACCTACAAATAATGAATGTAAGATCAAAGCTCACAAAAGTTAAATTAACTAGTCATTAATCATAGCGCTATGGGTTAAAGGAATTGTTGTTAGTGACAATGTTCTGCTTTTAGTTCTCTCAAAATCACATTTTAACTATGCAAAAAAGACAATCATTATTGAAATAAAATTTTCATTTTCAATGGAAAACTCATGTGAATTATTGTAAACATCAATTCAATACTTATCAAAATAAAATCTCATAAATGATGTTCATTATTGCATTGATTGGACAATCAAAATTTTTTGAAGCTAATAAAAATAATTTTATAAATCTTAAAAATAAGAATCATATGAAAAAATACATGCACTTGCCACATCATATTTATTCTTTGCCGTAATTTCATATTTCACATAATAAAATAATTGAGTTAACAATGTACCCAACTTATCATAATAATTAGAAATGACCTCCCTAGAGATAAAATAAAATTTTCAATAAAGACTATTATTAATAAAATAATTGTGATGCTATTTACTTACATGTCAGACTTTCAGTTTTCAAAGACTTTCTTCCTTCAATTACTATCAGAATTCTCTTCTTCCACACACCCTATGAGGATATGAATAAATAAAATTTATTAAATTTTTTATAACTTTATAAAAACCTCTTTCTACTTCTAATACAATTCCAAATCAACTATCATCATTTAAAATTTTAAAACCAAAATTTATGCTTTACAATTTATCCAAGTATTATCATTCACAACACTACTCTCCCCCACATTACTTTAACCATGCCAACCTACTTCTTAAGACAAAATTCTCTTAGGCTTTGCATTAAATACCTTAGGTGCATTATTTCTAACTATTCAATTAAAATATCCAACAATTTACCAATAATCATACAATTTTTAAGAATTTAAATAGTTACATACAAATTCATAATTAAATTCCTTTGCAATCTACAAGTTAATTCATAAATCAATAACTTTTGTGTTAACATACTTCTCACAATGACCAATGAAATTTCAAAAATACAAAATCAAACAAAACTCTCCTAATATGCATTTTATCAAACACTTTATGGGCATTAGATATTAAACTAATACTAATCTCTTTCTTTTCAATTTCACTTTCCTAACATTTTTCAACATCAATATTGTAATCAATAATCCATTCGAACTCAACTCACATCATCATCACTTTCCTTTTACAATCACAAGTTTCAATTTAAATCAAGTTTCCTCTTCTTATGCATCTATATATGGTCATGGACAGCAACAATAAAGGAGACAAATTTCACAACTTCAATCATCAAGTCATATATATGCAGAGCAAGAGAAAATAAGACTTGAGGCTTCCTCACCTTGAAGCGTGAATGATGGAGAAAAGGGGAGGAGGAGTCAAAGTTTATGGCTGTACAGGGGAGAGGGAAAGATGAGCACCAAGCGCAAGAGGAGAAAGAAAATCACTTCAACAGCACCAGACCAAGCTCATGACATCACCACTAGCTTCGACACCTTGTGATTTCTCACACCCAGCAGCAACTTGAACATGAATGACACAGACAGAACAGCAGACAAGGAAGATAAATAGAGACAGGGAGCATGAAGGAGAACTTGGACATATCAGAGCAACAACGAGTCTCCACCCTTACCGGCGACCACTAGAAACGAGAAGGAAAAAAACAAAGTGCCGTGAGAGGATGAAGAAATGGCAAAAATCAAAGCTTCTCCCCCTCTCACCGTTCTGGAAAAATCAAAGAAGGGAAGGAAGAAATAATCCAAATTTGAAAGGTTTGGTAATTTTAAAAAGGAAAAAGCAAAAGCAAAAATGAAATTCCCTTTCCACCTCTATCAGATTCGAGCACGGGACATGCTAAAATAACATTTGTACAATCCTCCACTACACCGACATCCCTTGCGGTCAATGATTCCAAATATTAATATTATTACTATTAAAATACAAACTTACATATTTAATTTTACTTAAATTCTTAGGTTATTACAATACCCTTTCATAACATTCTCTTAGAAAAATATGAATCTCTTTTGAATTTTATTGCAATACACAAATCCCCGTTCACTAAACCCTGTCTCACTATATCCATCTTCTTCCTTCTCTTTCTTCATCCAGTATCGCATTCTTCCACAAGCACCCCAAGCCAACAAGAACGTGAGAGGTGAGAATCATTGAATAAAAGTCACAATTAACAGCACAATAACTTCATTAAATCAATTAGAAATCAATTAGAAATCAATGAGAGCAACCCAATCAACAAAATTGAAATCTTAAGTGGCTAAAATCAGTAGCCAAATTAAAGCTAATCATGTCAGGTAAAGAGAACAAGAATTCAATTTCTCAGAGAGTAAGTTTCAAACCAACTAGTTATATTGTATATGCATCCCAAAAAAATAGACTAGCAGTATAGTAGCAAGCAAGACTCAAGAAGAAGCAATGAACCAGAACAAAGAAACCCTCTCTTGATCTCTCACCTTGGACCCGACACAGGACTCGTGAAGACCCGAAATCGACCTGACATGATATTGCGATCTATAGTGAGTGAGTTATTGGAGTAAAGATCTCTAGCACTACAAGAAAAGATTTCGAAGGTGGACACAAGAAGCAAGATCTGAAGGGAGATTTATAGTCATGGACTCTTACCATGCGAATGCAAAAAGAGAAGAAAAAGATGGAGAAGAGAAATAGTTCACAGAGAGAGAGAGAGAGAGGAGAGCGACACGTGTAAAATTTCCAGTCAATTAAATTTTCGTGGTCAAACATTAATCTAGATTAACAACGGGATAAAGTTGCATCATTTTTAAAAAATTTAAAGTAACGTTGCTTTAAAAAATTTTGAATACCAGGCACTTCTGGCATAAAAGTTTCATGGCATTTTTGTCATTCAACTCTATTTTTTTTATCCATTTATTCTTTTTATCGATAGTTCTTTGAATTGATGAATTTAAAATATAACGTTTATATTTGTTAAATGTATATTTAAAGTTTTCATATTAGATATCACAAACAATTTTTTCTCCATGTGATCTTTTTACTATGTTATTTATTGTAATGATTTAAAAAAAGATAAATTTTTCCTTTGAAAATTTTATTCAAATCAAATCAATGCACAAATTGCCTGAGCAAGCAAGCTTCTAATCTACCAACCAATAATTACAAGCAATGATCTTAAAAATCAAATCGGATCGGACGGTCAAATTGATTTGACTGTCGACTGGTTCAAATTTTGGCTCAATTAACATGTAAAAAAATTATTTTAGGGTTTGAGTTGGGTTTGACCATTTTGGATCGATAGTCAAACTGAAAACCAGAATCAAGCTGGAAACCATATTCAATTTTCAAAAATAGATTGTTCAAAACAAATATTTTTTATTTTTGTCAAATTTTCTTAACAAAATGACTAATTTTTTTAATCATTTGTGACTTGTTAAGTTATAATAAACTTAAAATATTTAATTTTATTTTTAAATTAAGTAGTAATTTTTTATTTATTTCTTATATTTAGATTACTAAATACATATATAATTTTTTAATTTAATTATTATATCACTTAGTTAACCATTGGTCCAACCGATTGAACCATGTAAACTATAAATCGTTAACCTTCTCGATTCAATATCTAATTCAATTCTAAAAATATTAGTTACAACTTACAAGTGAGCGAGCATTCCTTGATTGCTTGCATGAAAGATTTTTTTATATATTATTTATTTCATAAATTTTATTATTAGTATCATTAACCTGATTTTAAATTTGAAGTCCATAATTCTAATTTGTTATTCCCTCTAATTTTATTCATAGAGTAGAAAGAGAAGAAACTTTTTATTTTATTTATAAATCACTTCATCCAATTTTCATTACAAATGTTTCTTTTTACTTTTCATTAAATGTTAAAAATAGAAAATAAATTGTTAAGTGTATATATATATATATATATATATAAAACAAAGATAAAGTTAATAATTTAATAAATTTTTAAACATAGTTAATAAATTTTAATTTTTTTTTAATTTCAATAAAATATGTTAAAAATAATTTATGAATAAAACAAGAATATCACGTTTAATCTCATCTCGAATAGATGTACCCATTTGGCAAATTTTGGGAAAAGTTAAGATGCTCAGGAATGCGCATCCCATTCCGAGTTTTCAGTAAATTTTATTTTCGATAGCTTAACTTGGCAAAATTTCCATTATATCATTTACTAGCCTGTTTTCCCCCCTCATCGGGTCCCTACACTTACAAACACTACCAAAAAAAAAACATAGATTTATAAATAATGAACAATATAATTCACACCAGATTCCACATGAAGCATGAGACAACAGTTCAGTTGCATTTAAATTATCAAATATCATATATTTAGTGATTAGTACTTTCATTTGCGTTGGCATCTCTTCCTTTGTGCGACTAATGCAAGGCCTCCCAGGGCCTTCATGGCTGCTTCGCCTACAGGACAGGACAGGCTTTATGGAGAGTCAAACTAATTAGTAGGAACCAACCAATAAAAAAAGCCCCAATGTGAAACACAAACCCAATCCTGTGCAATTGAAACAATGTGGAGAACACTGACCGTCCTTAAAGCCACCTGCAAACGTGTCTTCCTGTAAGGGCTACAAGTGTACCTGGCAAACACAATAATTATGGTAATTTTAAACTTATTTTATTAGTAGTATGCTTAATTCCCCACTAATGTGTTTCTTCACAGGGTAAGAGCTCACTTCAGAATCCCATCGTCATCCTCCCATAACTAGACTCCACTAAGAAATAAAAGGTGGTGAAGAATGTCATGATCAAAATTTTGACTCATCCTCTTGGGACAACGAATTACACATGCAACTCGCAATTAGTCGTTCAACACAAGAGAGAGGTAGGAATTTATAAGTTATGGAGCTCTACCCATCATTTAGCCAAGTCTTACTAACTTAAATCTCTCGTAAATCAGCATTGCCCTGTCAGTTCAACGCTGATCTGGGAGATCATACGGCTTACTCAGTTACTCGTCCGTCCTCTGCCTCTTGGAGGCTGGAGCACTCTCTTCACTGCTTTGTAGCTTAGGGTTATCAGAAGCTTGTTTTTCAGGTCCATCATCCTTCATACCCACTTCCAGAGAGCTTTCCCCAACTGCAGCAGTGCCATTAGCCTGATCACGGCCTGACTTGCAATGGTCCTCCACTTCACCTTCGGCAGGACAATCTTTGACAGCATCTGAAGACACTCCAGATGGATTCTCCGCGGGAGCTGCTGATGATGACTTCTTGTCAGCGCCAGATTTGCATTGCTTCTCAAACATCATCTGAAGGTACCTTCCTTGTTCTTCTATTCGAAGTTGTAGGTTTCGTTGAATCTGACACAGAAAAGGACAGCAAGAGGAATAACTTCATCAGACTATGAAACAAAATACATGATCACCTTAGGAGAAAGAGACAATAAAGCAATTAGATACCTCGATCGCTACATATTGGTGCATGTTTAACGGGGGAAAAATAAAGGGGAAGAAGAAACCCTAAGCCTATTTTCCGTGGACATAACTATATGCTGGACATTATTACAGAAATTAATTCTGGTGACAGCAGAAACAAAACTTCTCATCAATACTCAACAGAACCAAAACTACCTTTAGTTAATTTTCCTAAGCATATAAACGTAGTCACCGTATGACCATGCCACAAGATTCCAAGAAGAATAGTTCATACCTCAAGTTGTTCATGCAACCGCTTCTGAACCTCCATCTGCAGTCGCAGCGCTTCAGTGATCTCAATACCACTGTCAACGGCGCAGCAATGAAGTCAGCATATGAATACAATTACCATATATTATGTCAGAGCGTGTCTCGGCCCATGAAATATGACCGCTAGTTTTGACATAGATTGCCGTTAGAACCGTTAGAACAATTAAATCATCGGCCCTCTTATTATTGCCTTAATCCAGTCTTGTGGCAGAATTTATGTCCTTGAAAAGTCCCTTCTTGATTATACTAATCCAGTCTTGTGGCAGAATGTAGTTGATAGTTGAACTCACACAGTCTGTTTCTTTCTTTTCTTTTCTTTTTCTTTTTAATCTTTAGGCCTAGAGTTCATTCCTGAACCTTCCCCTAACTACCAGGTTTACCTGTTTTCTTCTGAAATCTATCGTCAAATATATCTATAATTACTGCCATAGACCGTAGAAGAAACAGACCACATGCTAAGATTGCATAGAACTTACATGCCTATTCCGTGAGGTATTATTATCAGTCTCCAGAGTATAATTACTATTTACTAATTAACATAATTGAACATGCAGATTTTCCCTCCAAATACATCAAACTAGAAACCAACATTACTGATACATGGCATCCACATTTCATATTTGGGTAAGTTACACTCCCCTCCCTTGAGAGATGGTAAAATCAATAATTATACAATTATCTCCTCTATTATGTAAATATAAACAAACCTCCCTCAAAACCAGAAGATGCCCAAAATACCCTCATGATCATAGTGGCTTCTCTTTTAAATAAGTAGCTTGCTACAAAATGTATTTCTCAAACATTTATCATTTATTTTGTACTGAAAATCATAAATTTATTCTTTTTTCAATTTGAAAAAGTGACTTCTTATGCTGTCCAAATACATTTTTAATACTTGTTCTTTACAAGGGCATTTTGCTCAAAACAGGTATAATTATAACTTAGCTTTTGTTGGAAGGGGAGTTATTGTAGCACACTTTTTTAATATCTGAGGAGGGGAGTATAATTTGGACTTCCCCAGGAGAGAGGGAACAGTAGTTCATCCATCAAAATTTCAATATAGCTATAGGTTAATTTGGTAATTGGCAGCTAACTACCTTACGGCAAGATATTTCGACACAGATATTACACTGTAATACACATTCAATACTAGCCAATCACCATTCCCAAGAGTTAAACCTTCTGATCTGTAATTTCACATTAGAAAGCAGGCCACGTTGACAGTAACACTACACAACAAAAGTCACCTGAAGTAGTCTACTTACGTTTTCAAGTCTAGAGGAGGCATATCTTCAATGGAAGTCAGTCGTTTCTCCGAGGATCCTGCCAACAACATTTATTAGCCGACAACAGATTGGAGCATGACTCTTATTTAAAGGAACAGACTTAAAATACACTACTTCAGACATCATATGCATGGCATTTGGTCAGTAAAAGATTTTATAATCATCCCAAATGGGCGCTTCTAAGCTCTTGATCAACAACCTATTTTAGGAGACAGAAATAATAATGGGGCTGGGGGAGAAGCTAGTTGATTTGCATTTATATTTGTCGTCATATCATATAATGGATCCAAAGAAGCAGATACAGGAATTTTATTGTTGTACCCATATAGAACACATCTCCTTATCAGGTACGCGTGAATACAGATAAAATTGAAGATATTGATATGTTGAATAATGAATACATATTAACATGTACCTGACATAGGCAACATAAGAAAGGCAACATTCTTACCACATTATGTTAGAAAAGCATTTTTATGTCAATCTCAGTTATATTCAAAAAGCACACAACAACAACAATATGCCTTGTCCCATTAGGTAGGGTTGATTATATGGATATGTTCAAAAAGCATGTTTTACAAAATTGATCTATTTGGCGTGATTCTTAAATCCAATTATGGATTACACAAAACTTTCATCGCTTACAAAAATTGTTGGATAGTGCAAGATTGGCATAGAACTACATCAATGTCAATGGGTACTAGTACCTGCATCGGTACAAATACTACAATTCATATCTTATTTACCTTCAGATGGTTCCGGTCTATATCTAGCAGTCCTGTATTTCTGCATTTCATGGAGCAATAGCGGTTTCGGTAAAGAAAAATGGCAGCAAGCAAATCTAGACTTTTAGTGTCAGTGCACAAACCTGCAAGTGACTTTTAACATGATATATTGTCAGCCCTTCAACATTCATGAGCTTCAGCACGCCCTTAGGGGTAGCTCCTGTAAAATGAAAAACAGTTAAAGAGCAAAAGGAAAAAAAAAATGAGGCAAAGGTTTCATAAACAAGAGCTGAGGACTGTGCAGAAAGTGAGAAAGAAAAATGAACATACTTTCACTGCCACCAAGTTTGTTGACAGCCTCCACAAAGGCCTCATGAAGCTCTGGTGTCCAACGCATCCGTGGCTTGGCAGGAGCAGAACTTGCTGAGGAAGTTGGGAGGGCACCAACACAATTGTCTCCAGATGAAGCAGGAAGTTGCTGCTGACCTATGGACTGGTTTCCTGGAATATGTGAAGATGGTTTTGAAACATGGCACGCCACCTAAGGCAACAAAATGAGATCCAATAACATTTTGCTTCAAGAAATTACTGATCAGAATAATTTGCATGCTAATAATATAGAATTGAGTCACCAGAAACTTAACCTTTGGCTCCAGGTCTTGAATGTTGTCAGTAAGAAGCTCATTCCAATTCGAAGTCAAAGGGTCATCCATAAGCTGGTCAGCCCACTCTTGCCATTCATTCTGCTTACAGTACTCCTCGGATGCCATCACAGTGCAGGCACTATTTTCTGCTTGACTATTCTCGGTGGTAGTATGTACAGGGAAATCAAGAAAGTTGGGCAAGGTTTCTACATTCCAGGAAGCACTGTTTTCTTTGAAATAATTATTTGGCGTAGAAGAAAGAAGCGGTCCACTATTTGAAGAATAAGAAAATGGCAATGAAGAGATGTTACTGGATGACTGTGAAATGAAATGAGCACTTGTTGAGTGTTTTTCCTGAGGCGAAAGAGATGAGTGATGAAGATCAGTTGAATATCCAGGTGAAGATGAAAAAATGTGCCCAACTGCTCCGCTGGAATTTAAATGACTCGGCTGACCTATAGGCCCAGTCATAAACTCTTTTGCCATGACAGCCGGCTGAGAATCGGAAAATTTGGCAAATGCCTCTCCTATCGGGGTTGAAAGGACTGACAAGGATGACGGCAAAGCTCCAGAAATGCCTATGTTATTGAGCTGCTTAGTGCCTGATCTTTCAATGGAGGAAGTAGAGCGTGCTGCCATTATTTCCCTCCAGTTTTAGTTGAAAAACAACACATTAGTGATTCAGTCAACCAATAATGCCTAGAATTTGCATTTTTCCTTCAATTGGTAATGCTGACCAGCAACAATACGACACAAATTGCTTGCTCTTGAAGCCCCAGCCAGTGTGTCATCGATCTTCAATCTACACAACTGTGAACAGATAAAGTACTCGTGGTCTTTACCAAACAAGTTATCCAACAGAAAGCTAGTGACTTTCAAGAATAATGCCTTTGAAGATTAGAAAACCTCATCATGAGAATGAGTCAAATATAAAGAGCATAAATTTCATAATCAAGCCCGGAAAGAAGTTTAAGCTTTGCTTCAATTTCAATGTTATAATTTACCACTAATTCAACACACAAGGGTACTGAGAAAATACAAATGATTTAGGAAACCATTTGGTGTACACTTTGTAATCCTCATTTCACCAAAAGACTCAAAGCCTCGACCATTGAAAAAAGAAAAGGTTTATTGCCTCGCCTCCCTCTATCAGAAAAGCAAGGGATCATTCGAACATATAAAAAGTCATGCTTAAATTGATGATCATATATTTGCTGTTCATTAATAGCCATCAGTGATAGTCGGAAAGCAAAAGCCATGTATGAGGCATGCAAACTAAAACTGGTAATGACGTGCATGCATAAAAATAAATAAAATTGAAAACAAACTTCCAGCCAACAAACGATATCAGAAACAAGTAAGCAAGATATAACACCGAAGAGAAGTAACCGAATGTGATATGGACGCAATTAAGACTAAAAACACAAAATTGAAGCAAAAAATCCTCAGGGGTGTTTCTCAACAACAGACGAGGCATCCTCAAATTCCCAGGAGGGAAAGCTGTGCTATCCGGCAAACTAAGAAAACGGTGTATCATGTTCTTACCCCGAAAGCCCGCGGTGCCCTAAGAAAAATGGAACTGAAAGGCTGAGAATCTACTCAAAAGCAGGAATTTGGGCGGAGAACGATGGAGGCAATTCCTAAAGACGCAGGCGAGTGTTTGTAAATTCGGTCACCGGCAAGGCAAGGCATGGAAGGGGACAACGGTGAAGAGCGCGCTTAACCCTGCTGGGCCTATGGGTAGTGCCTTATGATAATGAGGAATAGTTGCTACGACACACACACCAGTTGGGCGCGTGGATGATTCTGGCGGTCCGGTTACGTGGAGGCGGATTGGCGCACCCCCATCCCGCATATGAGCAGAAAAATCTGTGATTGGTGGACTGGAAAATGAATCCAACAGTGCAGAGGTGATGTTAGGCTCCCACCATATGATTAAAGAAATGTTCCTTCGTTTCCCAAAACGCTAAATAAATCCTTCTTATGCCTCCTTCCCATGTGTAGCTTTCACGAACGCTAACTCCGTCCATCAATTTTTTAATACCAGAATCCAAAAGGAGTTATAGGAAGTGACCGAAATAGAATTTATGAAAATATATATCAGTAAAGAGGTTGGATGATAGCAAATCCGACCTTAGCTCAGTTGGTAGAGCGGAGGACTGTAGTGGGCACACCTGGCAGACGATCCTTAGGTCGCTGGTTCGAATCCGGCAGGTCGGATTTTTTACCCCCTCGCACCCCCTTTCACGATTAAATTTTAATAAACCTAAACTTAGAAGAAGAGAAAATATCAAAATTCTGGCTCGATTCTGGATTCTACAATCCAAAAATACAATTCAAGTTGAGAGGATCAAGTGAACTTCTATAAATTTCTTTAATTCTTTAATCCAAGGAAATTCTCGTGAGATTCGAAATATCTTCCAATCCATAATATAATGCACATGTCAACTTCGATTCTACAAGCTTGCTTTAAAAAATGTAAATGAAGGTTGAGTGAATTTTCGCGAGAAGCTTTTTTCAATTCAGGAAAATTCTCCCGTGAAATTTCGAGAGATCGGCACAAGTATAATACAGATAAATGACTAATTTTTTAATCCCCGTAAAATGCACATGAATTTCGCGACTGTTTGCTCGCTGTATGATAGGTGAATTTATTTTCTAATTTTTATTTTGTCATGCAAGATGGCTTTATTTACTTGATACACGTACGGTTTACTAAAATGGACAAATTTGTCAGGGCAAATGAAAAATAAAAAACTAGACCGGCGCATCATTGGATTCCTACATTAATTGTCAATACTGACCCTTTCTCAAATTTGTTATTTTAATTGAGGTTAGAATATGAGATCAGGCTATCAGCATATGCATCGATCGTAAATTGGCTAGGAAATACACGGTACAGGACATATGAAAGAAAGCAATGATGTGGAGCCTAATATTCAAAAGAGAGCCAGAAAGGTTGAGGAGATTTAGCGGAAGAGAGGCGTGTGTGGTACGTAATATAATTAACTAGTGAGAAAGGAAGGGGCGGAAGTAGAAAAGGAGAAAGTGTTGGGGGGGGGGGGGGAGTAATATAATATAATATAATATAAGATAAATAGTAAATGGAATTGGGGAGCTTGAAAGTGGAGTGAGCAGAAGGGCGGCCATGAAAACTGCTCCACTGATCTCCCACGATGCCCCAAATGCGATACCCTTCTTCTTCCACCAACCGTTGCCTCACCCTTGACTTGTACTTCCCCACTTCCATTATTTCCTCCTCAAGCCCCCTGCATCCACCCACCACATTCATTTTCTTTTATTTATTTATTCTCTGTCACTGTACGTACTTCTCATGCATTTCATTAATTAACCAAATGCCCCACAAAGGTATGAATTGAAGTACATACCTTAGGATGAGACGTGTCCATCCATGAAAACCAACCTTGATAAGGTTGTCCACAGTGGCCGGTCGAAGTGTCTCCTTCCTTGAAGAAACCAGAAATATTTGGATGCCTCTGTTCCTTATTTCATGGAACAGTCCTACTGTCTCCTCTATTGCCGGTGCCTTGCTTTCCTTCATCCAAGCTTCCATTGCTCCAGTTCATCTTTTCCCCCTGCAACCACAACCTTCATCATAACACTTTCCTGTGATCACAACTTTGATATCTATATTTATTGAAATATGTCATCCATAATTCAGGGTTGGGGCTCCACAGAACTTGGGGGAGCAGTTTTAATTATGGTTTCAAAAATTATGTAGCTACCCATATTCAATCACGAAATATGAAACTGGCTACTGATTGTGCGCGCCCGCAACCAGAGAATTCTTCTCTGCTATTCTCCCTTTTTTTAAGAAAATATTGTGTATTTAATTTTGTGAGAACTTCAAGCGAGGTCTGTAATCGTAACCCAGTCCGTGCGTGTGGTTCAAGAAGAAGCCATATTCGTCATCGACGTATGTTTTCTGACTCTCTAAAACCTTACAATATTATTATGTTATTCTTTTCAGATATAGGCATATGGAAACCCCTATTTGGTCGGCCTTCGGTATCTAGACGGGATTCTGGAATAAGTAGTCAAAATATATGATGGACAGCACAAGTCTAGTGGGGCTTAATTTAAAAAGGCTGATTTAGTGGGTGGTAATAAAATATTACAAAAAGCATTGCGAG